GCCCGGTGTGTCCAGCAGCTGCTCCAACTGGGCAAGCGAGTGTCACACAGTTACTGGAACTTGGTCAACGCTCAATCTCAAGCATGGGATTAGATTTGTTGCTGCTACTGGAGAGGACACAGCGAACAGCTACCGTGTGCCAGAAGTGCTATTAAATGCCTTTTCACAAGCCTAGTCTACTTCCTATCATCTCCCCACTCTTGCGAACCATTGTCGTCATAGCAGGTCTACACAAACGGCACAGCATGCACTTTTTGCGTCCAACCTATGGCAATCTGCAACTGCATGTGGCACAGAAAGGCAGCCCCAATCGGCAGTCGGAGCCCATCAGCCCATGAACCGCGATCGTCACCCAGGTCCAACTTCAGAGGCCCGAGGCCAGCTTCCCGGAAGGACTGCCTAAGTTTTCCCGAGATCTGGGCTTCGGCTGGGCATGGCTGGGCTATGCGTATCTTCATCCAGTATGGTTGCACTGATTGAGGTGTGCAGCTTTAAACTTGCCTAGTTCCAGCCGCCACAAGCTCGTCGCAAACGATCTCACACTAGACGGTCGAAAATTGCGGCCAACGACAACAAGATCAATGCTCAACACGGAACATGTTCCTTCGAACCAGTGACCCCAGCCGATTGAAAAGCCCCAGTTTGCTTCTCCCGCCTCTTGGGAATGCCGCAGTAGGATGCGGAGCTGAGCCGAGAGAAAGCGGCACTGCCTGACGTGCGGAAAGCGCGCCTTGCTCCCTGCCCCTTCAAATTCTTGGCTGGATTAGTTGACCTCTGCAAAGATTGTATTGCCTGGTTCGTGGAAAGCAAAGGGGAACCCAAAAACGCAAACCAACAATGGGGAGCCAAGTCCGAGGTGGAATTGAGGTGGCCGGCGTTTTTTTTTCTTCCTCTTGCAAGTAGAGAATGTACATCAGGAGCTCCTTTTTCTTGGACCAAGAGCTAGGGGCAGAAGGGGTACTCAACATGTCTAAATTGTAAATAATGGTGTGGTAGTATGTGTATTGGGTTGGAGGGCGGCCATTTGTAGCGTTCACACAGGAATGATCCATGTCGTGTCCCCGTTGTTCAAAGCAGGGGATTCAGACACCCCCTATTCTTGGTGAATGCTCAGCTCCAATCCTTGGATTTGCGTTCTTTCAACCGCCATAATGTTAGTTAGTCAAGGGCAGAGACGTAAGATGCTTCTCAATGGTTCCACAAAGAGGGGGTGATCTGGTCCTCTGGTCATCCATGTATCTAGTCATTGGTTTCTGGGCAAGAGTCGAGACGGTGACTCAGGGTTTAGTACGGAACATTGACCCAGACATGCCATCCGGAAGGTGCCTGTCAGACATCATCTGCCGAGGTGATAGGTCCTCATCCTCTGCAGGCATGGGGATCTCCTGCCGGGAGGATGGATGGCTTTCTCCCATTTCCGTAGATGCGTCTCAAAAACAGCTGGGAACAACAGCAAGTGCAGTGCCTTGCAAGTTCAAACATGCATTCCAACTCGGCCAAGTTTTCATGACTCTGCGCTTCGCTTGGACCTTGGGGTGGCACGGCACGGCACGGCACGGCACTGCCACATTAGCCAGGAGGTTGAAGGCACACCAAAGGCAGACGAATCGCGCGAGCACATGCAGTGGTCCTGCTGTGCGGCCAGAATGCTGTCACGAGCCTGGTCACTGAGTTGCTCTGAAGATCCCAAGGAAAACCAGGACATAGGAAGGACACCCCAAGGACGAAGGACATCAACGGAAATGATGACAAAAAACTAAAAGAAACACCCAATACAAAGCAAATGCAAAGAAATCAGAAAGGACATCGGCCCCGTGAGGCTCGGTCGTGATTGGCTTGAGGTCTTGCATCCAATGCAGGTCGCCGAGTGGAAAACCGGGCTGAGGCATAAGTTCCGGCAAACTCCAGACAGGGCGTAGTGTCTTTGCAGCCAAGTAACTACAGAAACCAAACTACTAAGCAGATTGGGGTTGTGTATCAAAAGGGGCTTTCTGAAACGGAAAAGGATCAACGGAAGCCACCTGGATGACAAGGGCTCCAACTCATTCCCAGCAAGAAACACATGAGCAGCGCCTAAACCAATTAACCTTTCATGCTACCAACATGCTGATAAGGGTTTACACAGCCCTTACTAGAAACCCATAAAACCAGGTGGAACCATCTACCAAAAGGGATTTTTGGCAATGCTTGCATAGTCAGATTACAAGGTGTTGCGCCGATCTTCCCGGCTGAGGCCATTCAGTTTCAGAAGGGGCTCACATCTCAAGCCAAACCACTTGAGTAAACCCGCAGACTTACATTCCCCCAAAAGATCCTCACCCCAGTTGATCCAACAAGTGACTTGTTAAACTGGCCTGGAGTTGGACTCCTGATGAAACCCGCCTGAAGCTCCGTAGCGGTGAGGATCCCTGACAAAGGCATAACCACAATTGCTTTTCATACTGTAGATGGGCAAACTCCTGCACCAAACAAGAAACCCTGGACGGATGCCAACAAACAACGATTTCCCATGGTTTCAACGTGGCACGAAATGGAATTCGTTCATGCACAGTAGAGCCCGATTTGTATCAGCTTCGCATATTTTTCGGATTCATTTGGGACCAAACATGCGAGGGAAACCCTTGGCCAAGCACACAAACAAATGTGTGATCAGCTTTAAAAAGTGTCAAGTTCAGGACCTCAGGCCAAGCCCTTTGAAAAGCCGAAACAGGGTTGCCCGATGAAGGAAGAAAGGAAATCATCCATCCCAACTTTCTATCCAGGTGGTTTGAGTCATACGTCTTGCAAGCTTGCAAACAAATTCAAAGGGCCACCTGATGTTTACCTCCGTACCATGGGTTTTGCTGGCCGCCAAAGGTTTGACATGGGGTCGAACAAACACGGTCGTCCAAAGGGCTTTACTAACACCCCACCCTAAACCCCAACACTCACACACCCCACGCTCACGCAGAACGAGAATGGTTCAAAATTGGAGGTGCGGTTGGATGGAAAAGCTCTGTGAACCCCCAGGACGTTCTTCGCCAGGAAGCCGTCCGCAGCTTCTTGAGCTGATCCTGCTGAAGTTGGACCTGAAGCATTGCATCCCCGAACCTGCCCGTAGCTGTCAAAGGGAGTTGGGCCCGTGTGGTGGCTTTCCTTTCGGTGGCCGTTTCAACCAAGGTGAAAACAAAACAAGAAACACACACACTCATTTTGGTTGGGCCCAAAACAAAGCATAAATTAGCTGGCAGTTGGAAGACTCCCATTGGCTTATCCCCGATTCCAACTGTAAGCAGCAGGCTCCTTCCTGGCTACGCTTTTGTCCAGCTTGCCCAAGGACGTCATGGGACATGTGAAGGGGGCCGCCTCTTCGGATTGATCCCAATGCCAACCCCCCCTAAGTCGAACGTCTTAAACATAGGGTTGGGAAAACACAGACTTCGGATTATGCAAGAGCCCCATACTCTACGGAATGCGAGATGAGTTCAATTCCCTGCACCCCTCTTTGGCTGGGACCCTCCGGATCAATTCTTGACTTTAGTGACTGGGTGACAATTCTGTTGGGATTCCTGCCGGTGAGAAGGTCCACTGAATTTATCCAGATACAAACTGGGGCCCTTGCAACCGGAAACAGACCCTTGCAGGCAATGGTTGAAGGGGTCCTCAACCATATTTTCAGATTGAGTACAGGCAAATGTTGAAGTTTAGGGCTCCATCCTTCCACCTCGAACTGTTGAGATTGTGGATCCATTTTGCGGACCTATGGCATCTGCATAGAGAACTGGCACCAGGGCGTAAATAAAAACGATGGGGGCAATCTGTATGCGGCGGTTCTCAAGATGGAGAGGCCTTGTTGGATGGTATGTAGAGTGGTACCTATACCCCAAAGCCACGCACGTCAAGCCCTCAAGAACGTCCAACTGCACCAGAAGCCCAACAACATGCACAAAGGAAAAAACATCTTTAAGAGACCGGTTTGCGGCAAAGCCGTTTATTATTCAAAAACATCCCAAGGAATGTGAGAAGTCTTCTGCAGCCACCCCGCTGGAAAAGAACAGAACCAACAAAAAAGACGTGCCAAGAAATGTCAAGTAGATTTTCCCTTAACCCAAAACATGCCACTTGGCCTGCCTTGCTCTCGAGGGCTGCAAGCTTGTCACCTCCGGGGTGACGAGGGCTTGTGATAAACAAGTTAGTCGCATCCTCATGCTATCGAGGAAACCCAAAGTTAAGCATCTAGGTATATCTAGGTCATGAGGGTGGCGCTTGACCACCCCGTCATTTCCCAGTTTGCCTCAACTGATTTGTGGTAAACTTGTGCGGCTTCTGCTCATTTGCATTCTCCCTGACCTCCAGCCAGTCATGCAACCGCAGTGCTGAAGCCATCTCCCGCCTCCGACGCTCGGCCTGGCACGTTGGGAAAAAACGCCAGCGAGCCACTGACGCCCCGCGGATCTCTTGCTCTCACTCGGGCACGTGCATGCGCTTCTTTCCCGCGGGAAAAAAACTGCTATTTTTCTACAGAGAAGCCAAAGGAACACGGAAACAAAGCTCACTTGAGCGTTCCTAAAAATTGACGGTGCGTGGCAAAGGCTGCTAAATGTTGACCCCGGACATTTTCCAGCATAACATGTATAATCTGGCGGATTCTCTCGATGCAACTCCTGCCTGTCAGCTTCCCGAGACGCACTGTCCTGGCACATTGCCGGGCCCCTCCTTTTGGGGTCGTGTTTCGGTGACTTTCTGGCAACAAGGGGAAACAAAAAAACACGACTTTCACTGAAAGCAACTTGGTTCCGCCAACTGCTCAATTGCAACTGAGGCTTTGCCTTCTCATGCCTGCCTCATGTAAATGTAAAGCAATCGATCACCCGCCACCCGTACGGACCATCAAAGCCGATGCACCCCCACCCAACCATAACAACCGAACCTCTCAATCTGCAAAACCAATCTGTCACACACCCAGACCGCAGGCATGTTGTCGATTACTCAATGCGGGTTTAGCGCACCGGCCACATTTTGAACCTCAGCGCCAATCCTGGCAGGCGCCAATGTTGTCTTGTGTGGGCCCTGCAGAAGTCTCACAGCTTGCCCAAGAAGGGGTCCCTCAACAGAAGGTTCCTTAGGAGTGGTCCCTTCGCGCATCTGCAGCGCAGCTTAAGGCGCTCAGTCGTCGCAAATGTCGTAGGTCTTCACCCCGTCGTCATCCTCCAGGACCTAGAGGCACACCCCACAGCCGCTTCTCAAGCTTGACTTCTCGCATGCAAGCGGGAAAAACACACATAGTCACATAGTCCCAAAAACTGCAAGGTTCAACAAAGCCAAACGAATAGCTCAGGATCATTCTCGGGGGTAGGGCCCCGATGCTTCTCCTGATAATCTGATGTTTGATCCTTTCAATTCAGGCTCCCCAAAACGGTCTGGGAGCGAACCACGCAATCTCCCTCCCCTCTCCTGGCTTTTCAACAGGCGGTCAGGACGATCGGTATCCTTTGGTGGTTTCTTAGGGAAGATGCAATGGTCTCTACTTAGCACTCAGTTTCCCTCGTTTAGAAGGTGGAAGGCACCCTCGGTTGCCGCGCCTTGCCCAGTAGAAACAGCTGCTGCAATGTGGCCTTGCCGCGCATGACACGCAAGCGCTTGCTGCACGAGTGGGTGGAAATCTTCCGGCTCTACCAAACCCCACAGAGGCGCACATTCAACGCCCCCAACATATTTTCAGATTCTAGCTTGTCGTGTCAACAATAGAATTTTTCAAACTATAAACTACTAGAGGGGGAGACCCCAGCAACGTGGACATGCCAAAATGACATCACAGCCCATGTTGCTGTCTGTAACACTTAGAATATCTGCTACATATGTCAGCGAAGCGGGCCTGGCAAGTTATTGAGGCCGGGGGTGCAGCCCTCAAAGTGATCCAGATCCGTCCACATGACCCCCCATCCCGAATCAAATTATCCAGCCGTTGACTAATGACTCCACCTAAGCGCAAATTTGGAATCTGATACGACAAGCAAATGGCAACCCAACTAAACGCAGGTTCCCTCCTTAAAGTGAAAGGGGAAATTTGTTTGGCACACTTGGTGCAAATGGACATGGAACCCAGCAAGGGCACACACAAACTGCAAAAAAGACACGTTTGAGCCACACAATATCCTCCCCAAAAACAGAACTGCTAGAAAAATCGTTCCACGTTAATCGCTCCACGCTAGCTCAGTTCTCTCAAAATAAGAAAAGCAAACATGGTACCCCCCGTGGTCCCAGAACCCCCCCCCTCAACCATAAACGACAAATGGAGATCTCCACAGGTCACCCCCCGAATGGAATTGGGGGGATCCTGAAAGCTGCCCCGCAGCACCCAAAGCTGGTCCCGTGGGGCTCCAAAGCCGAAAGCCCTTCGCCTCAGTCTCGTTCACGGCCTTGCGCTCCCGGTCCCGCTTTCGGGTGAGCATGCGCGTGCGGAAGGCGGGCCTGGCGCTGGCCGCTCGCCACTGCCAGAGACGTTGGAAGCAAACACTTGGCACATGGGCTGGTCTCAAGGCAAGGTGACCAACCAAAAATTAGGTTTTTACGTTTTTACCTTGTACCCCAAAAAAGGGTACGATATATTTAGCCTACCCCAAGATGTGACAGAGCTGTTGCACACTCCGGAAAGAACATGTTTCGTTCCTTCCTTCCTGCCTTCCTTCCCTCCCTCCTTCCCTTCCTTCCCTTCCTTCCCTTCCTTCCCTTCCTTCCCTTCCTTCCCTTCCTTCCCTTCCTTCCCTTCCTTCCCTTCCCTTCCCTTCCCTTCCCTTCCCTTCCCTTCCCTTCCCTTCCCTTCCCTTCCCTTCCCTTCCCTTCCCTTCCCTTCCCTTCCCTTCCTTTCCCTCCTTCCTTCTTCCTTCCTTCGTTGCTTTCACTGCTTTAGGGGAGCATCCCTGAAATAACACTGCCACGCCGCCTTAGCCAACCTCTTTCTTTGTTGATTTCCTTCTTTCATTCTTTCTTTCTGTCTTTCTTTTTTCTTTCTTTCTTTCTTTCTTTCTTTCTTTTTTTCTTGCTCTCTCTCTCTCTCCCTCTCTCTCCCCCTCCTTCCCTCTGCAGGTTCAAATGACAATAGCCGCACACGACGACTGCCTGGGCCAACCTCCGCCGCCCGCCTCACCCGCCCCCCCCTTCGGCCTTCTGGCCGGCACTGCCTTAGTGGCTCGCTCACTTTTCCCATCTTTGGAACAAAATTCGCCCATCATATTCCGGCAACTCTTTCATTGAAGTTGGACCCCTCTCAGACTCTCAAGTGGAGGTGGATGCAACCGGCAATCCTTGTGACTGCAGCTACCTTAGCTTCCCGCCAAAGCTAGTGTACTTTCAAAGCGGGTAATCCATCTGGCAAGGCTTGGTTTTGGACCCAGTTGGATGGCTCAATCCCCTCTGCAACAACTACGGTTCGTTGCTGGGCGACGTCATTAGCTCACAACGCAGTCTAAGGATCCCACAGAAAAGCAGACAAGCCCAGTGTACTTGTTCCAGGAAACGGTTTTGCGGCTTCTGTGGACCCCCCCGTTTTTTACAACGGAGTATCAAAAGAGTACTTAAAAAAGGAACATCAGGGGAAACCAACATGAACAAATCCACAGAAAGCGCATCCCACTCCCCCGCAGTGTTTTCCCAAGGCGCCACTCGCAGCGGCTGCGCTGGGTGTACAGGCACCGGCCGAACCGCGGAAGACGAAGCGGAAGAGGTGGACATCGGGGCTGGCCCAAGGCGTGGTACAAAAGACGTGTTTCTGGCGGGCAGTAAACGATATGATGTCATCCGAAAAACCGAGTTCTCAGAGTCTCAAACCGCGGTATCAGAATCCCTTTGAAAGGACCATCGTTTTCCAGGACCCCTCGGTCAGGTTCCAGGTTGGTGGACAGGGTACGTGGCGACTTTGTTCAGGCGACTTTGTTCAGAACTTCCTGGGCCCCAGGGCAGTTGTTTAGCCAATGGAAAGGCAGAGAGGAAGGATAAATTCGTGGAAGGCGTGGGGATGTATCTGATATGGATTGATGAGCCAATGAGCTCGTTTCCCTCTAGGTTAATTATTCCGTATTGAACTTGTGCAAGTACGTGGACAGGGTTCAAGCAAGGCTACATTCACGTTTCACAAGGGGTCCTCTAAATCAGCTGCAAATTGCGACTTTCCATCTGGCCAACATGTATACGCTGTTGGCAAACCAAGCCACATCAACCTCTCGTGGCTCAAGGTTGGCTTGGTTGCCAATCCGTTTTGCTCATCCCGGTCCCGGGAAACCCAGCCGGAGGTTTTTTGAGAGGAACGGCCCCGCATCGGCCCCGCCTGGCCGAACCAAAGCGCTCGCCGGTGGCACCACCTCGGCAAATAAGATGACTGGATTGTTCAAACATGTTTGAACCATTGTGCATATAAGGCTCCTAAAGCACAACGCATATTTCCAGTAAGGATAGATTCCTGTAAAACATATTCTTGAGCAACTTGTTTGGTTGCCACCCAAACTGTCCTCCCAAACAGTTTGAAGCCCAGGTCGCCAAAAGGGAGACTCCTCCAAATGAACAGGTTGATTGATTGGTTTGGGCTGCCATGATATTCTGCGTTCAGCTGCACGGATGCAATGCAGGGAGCAATAGGAGGGGCTACACGAGTACCTCGCAACCCCATGGGCGAAACTTGAAAATTTGCAGGTCAGTGTGAGGCCGGCCGAGCCCTACAATTTGAGCGGAATGAAGCATCATGAAATCCTCCAAAAAAAGCAGTTCTCTTTTCTTTACCCTGGGGCAGCTGCAAGCAATGCCCAAACGCACAGTCGCGCTAGAAAACGGAAGGCAAAACTTTGGGTTGACAGGACACCATGTTAGTGGCTTCGGAAGCCACCTAACAGAAAGCAGAGTGCCAGCGAGCAACTAAGGATGAAAACATGTGAGCAGCCCCCAAAACCAAATTGACTTTTGGCTCTACCAACCTTGCTATATGACCCTGTGAAGCCGGGTAGTCGAACTACCTTATTCCTAAAATGGCCAACAGGAATTCCTACAAGGGACTGCCTCACTCACAAGGTGACGTTGACCTTGCTCGAAGAAAAAAAGAAAAAAGAAGCCACCTTTGAGCAGCAAATCACCCGACTGCCCGGATGCCAAGAAGCAGGTCGCACCGTGACCTGAGGCATCTGCTTGCAACCAGTTGTCCCAAGCCCGAAAATTCATGAGAGCCCTTTTTTGGGGTCACCATTCTCGTTCTTGCGGTGGGAAGCCCACCAAACCATAGCTTAGAGCGTTAGAGGGCCCCGGAATCGGGCAGCGCATTTCTCATCCAGGCGGCCTCCGCAGGCGGCTTTGCCGCTGAGGCTTCGGGCTTTGCCTTCGCTTTGGTCTGCATGAGCTCTGTCCGGAACTTCTTCATCCAGCGATTGACCTCAGGAAAAAAGGAAAACAAAAAAACTAGAAAATGTGAACTTTTCCCAAGGAATATCCAGTCTTAGGGTTCTATCGACCTGTTCATGTCTCGCTGCTGCGGCTGAAGGCGGTTCCCAACTGATTGTTTTTGTGATTCTCGCGGAAACAAAGTTTGAAAGCGTGCGTTTCTCTAAAGGCGCAGGTTGAAGATCCAACCAAAGGAAAATCAATTCAGCTTCGGCCTGACAACTTTCACTTAAGAAGTATAGTAGTATAAGTTGCCTCCCGTGGGTGCTGACACAAACAGTCGTTTCTATGCAAATCAAAGCTTGACGCAACAGCAACCAGCATAGACTAGAGAGCACCGAAATACATTGGGCAGAAGGACGGGGCAAAGGCGTGCATGCCAGCCTTGCAGTATGAACAACGGCAGCCGTCGGCGTCATTTGGAAGGGTATGCGAAAGGTGCATGTACGATTCAAAACCCAGAGCTTTAACAGTCTAAACTGTTTTCTTGGTTTCAGCCTTAAATGAAGACACCAAGTGAAAGTACAAAATATCAAATAACCCAAGTTTTAGGAATTTTGTGTGGATAGGCAAGCAAACAATCACCCCCTTCTCAACCCAAGATCCAATGATGGGCCGTGGTACACGAGCCAACGATGGCATGGGATTTGTGTCCGGGCGAGAGGCATAAAGCAATCGCTTCTTGAACCGTGTTCCCCACCACAAGGGCGATCACATCATTCCAGTTTTCAAAGGCGCAACCATAAATCACTTCCTGGCACCACCTTCCCTCCAAGGTCAGTTTTCAGAGGGGATGAATCAAACTCAGCCCGACTGGGTCCAATTCACTACGCCTCAAAATTACCCTCATGTTGGTTCGAAGATTTCAAGAAGGTTCCCCTGTTGACCCTGGAAAGCTTGTTTTTGGGGACCGCTCCCTTCCAGAAAAGGGAGGGAGGTCCACGGAGGCCACTAAAGAATGGACTTTGGGAAAACTGACCCAGCTGTATTCAGGTGCGCCAAAAAAAACTGTCTACCTTTGGTTCTACGGGGACGCTTTACCCCAATTAAACTAGAAGCAACCGTGAAAAAAATCCAAGGGATTTGTGTGCTGCCCGCTCACTTCTCCCAAAGGCACCAGCTCGCCGGCGTCGGCCATCGCAGGAGCGCAATAGTTGCCTGTGGTAAGGCTTCGCGATGGGAAGCCAACGGGTGTTGAGGGAGAAATGCTAGAACTCACGGGATCTGTCACTCATTTGATTCACCAGAAAGGAGTGGCGGGCCCGTGGCACCAGTCGGGGTAAGGGGGTAAGGTCCTGCAGGTGTCTTCTTCCTTTTTTGGGGGGGAGCTGTGTGAACGGGGTTGGCTCTGACCTGCAAAAGTAGAGCCTGCAACAAAGTTCGACCACCTTCCTGGGTGGATCGGCCAGAAATCAAGTCCAGTAACCCAGGAAGTGAGCACAGATGGCAAACTGGCAGTGAGCCCTTCCCCCCTCCCCGCTGCCACGGCAACTGACATGGGGTGCTTTCCACACGAACTTGATTGTTTACCCTCTTGTAGAAACCATGGGGAAGAAGGGAAAGGCTTGTTCAAAAAAAGGTCCCATGTGCCGAGACGCCTGGTGCCAGCGTGCCACTGCATTTTCTATAAGGGTCCGCACAACAGTCCTTCTGAACAACCCTCAACTGGCAAGTACGGCAAAAGAAGAAGCAGCTCCGGAAGAAAGCCAGCATATATTGTTTGCCATGTGGGCAGCGGCCAAGACGGATCTACAAAGATGCGTATAAAAGTCTATATAGGCTGTCATTACGATGTACTATGTCTATACTGTAACCCCTATGTTATGACACCAGGTGGTAGGACCACCTACTAAGCTTACAACACATACAGCACAAATTGAGCACTGGTCCCGTGTTTTCAAACAGTGAAAGGTAAGGCCACACCAACGAGCACCCATCCCAACCCCCTAACTTTCAAGGGTATTCTTTCGGCATTATTGGAAAGTGGCACTAAAGTCAATCATAGAGTCACTCCAGAGCTCTGCTTCGTCAAAAACACCTTCTAAACTGCAACCACTTTAAGGGACCAGGACACAAAATAACATAGCATGAATTCCAGGAGTCACCCTCCCTCAAAAAGATCGGCTTGAATCTGGCCTCCCAAAATTCCTAGCGGCCCATGCCCCCACTAAACTGGTGCCTTCTTTGTTTTAACAGGTGGGATGAATATGGAAACAAACAAATGGCATTAAGCGTCAAATCATGGCAAACAACTATTTTCCAAGGCTTAAGGATCCTTAAGGATGGAGCTAACTTGCTCAGCAGGGAATGACCTTGCGGGTCAACAAAAGGACATGAATTCCTAGGTATTCCCTTGGGAGACCACAGGTTGGATGGTTTTTTGGGGGTCATTCTGTGGATGGACGAAACCCGGCCCCACCTAAGAAAACCCTGAAATTATTGTTTTTTCTCCTGTAAATAGCAACGGACAATGGTTTCCCGTGGTTTCAAAGTGGTGCAGGATTTCGTCCATCCACAGTTCCATCTCTCATTCCCTGAGAACCAGCCGAGACCTGTGGGTTCCACGTCGAGAAGCGGATGGCCATGAGCGTGCGCCCGATGCCGGAGGCCCGGAGCGTCTGCAGCGTCACCGGCAGCGTCTGCAGCAAGCCCAGCGCCTCCAGCACCACGGCCTCGTGCTTCCTGGTTCCATAGGGGAAGGAGACATGGAAGGACCCCTAGCTATACCAACCAGTGGTTTCCTTTAAGGGAATCCCTGGGTTCATTCCCAAAACCCTGGGTCAGCTCCCTACTGGACATGATTCAGAAGTATCTGCCAACCTTTTGGGAACAGCATGCAAGTCAAACCCCCACCTAAGTCAACTATGCACTGGATCAAAGCTATAGTAAGGCCAGCCTTTGCGGCCTAATGGTAACTACTGAGGCTCTGTTGCTGTCTTGCGGTTTCTATGGACGGCAGGAGATCGGACAACTGTGATACCAAAGTATGTGTGCGTGTAACTTAGGCTTTCAAACCCACCCCAGGTAAGCAAAACAAATGTTTGCAAGAACTCTTGCTTCCCTACAAGCCTGGCAAGAAAAATGAATCCACACTCAAGGAATCTCATTCTTTATATTGAAAAATGATAACCCGCGCTAAGGGAACTTTTTCTGGACCCCTATCCAATCACGGCACATATGGACTTTTGCCTTCAGGCGTGTTCCCCAACTTCGGGGACTTACCCCTGGGTATGAACTGTTGGTCCAAGATTCATCTTCCTTGCGTTGAAATACGGCACCGCGAAATGACACAAAACATATTCGAGGCCCCTACGAAGACCCCCCCAATTTTGCAACTGACAGTGACTGAAGCATGCAGTGTAGCGGGGCTTTGCACGGGAAGCGAAATGAAACTTCTCGTCCCCCAGAAAAAGCAGCCCAAAGAACCTAACGCAGGACCCTAGTCAAAACCCATGTAATCTGTCAGTTTGTTAAAGGGGAGCCCCCCACAGCATCTCGGCCAAGGTTCCACAGGATTTCCATATTCACCATCATTTCAAAATGATTGGATCCTCCAAATTGCAGCCCTCCAGATTCCAAAATTGTTATTCACATCCGGACGGGCTGTCGCCTCAATTGCTCCTTTCCGTTCTGCTTGGCCGGCAGCGCATCCTGCAGCCAACCCCTCAGCGCCGTCACGCCTGGCTCACCCCCCGTCCCGTGCGAAAAAGGTGGAAGGCTGCAGCGCCCACTCATTTTCCAATTTTGTAGCACTGGGACCCTAGGATTAATTAACTCCTTGTCAATCACGCGGATTTATGTGGAGATAACACCACATTGAGCAATGCCCTCCCCCCTCCAGCGGGCGCAAACAGGTGCAATCCAACTGAGAATGAACTCCACGTTCAAACACGTAAACCGTAGGCCAATGATTTGCTCACCCGTGAGAGGTGCAAGCCCCTCGGCTATACAAAAAACATCCGACAGTCTCTTGTCTTGGAAATCCGGATCCCACAGTAACGGGCCTTCACCACACGTAGGGAAGCTCATGTTGCCCGACTCAGGTAGGTGAGCATATCCAAAGGTCAGCTCCTGTCTCTTAAGGGTTCCGTTGCTTGGCTTCGGGAACCACCAGTTGGCGCCGAGTCCATTTGGGGACACATATCCGACCAATAGCCCCAGCTCGCCTCCAGCGTTCACAAAAGCGCTGCCAAACTGGAGGTTGTGATGCATAGACTTTCGAAGCACCATGGTGAACCTCCGCGCCGAAATCAGGGAATCGCCGGCAATCCGGGAAGAAATCCAGCCCCCCCCCCCCCCCGGCAAGGGTTGCCAGAACCTTCTTCGACCTGCTTCTATTCTTCCTGGTGGCTCATGGTTCTTCGGTTAAAGTGCTTTTGACCAGCAGCAGCGTTGTACTAGCCCCGACTCCGCACAAGGCCTCCCGCTGAACCGACCCACCAGCATCACTGGCTTCTGATTTGAGCTAGGTGTGGCCTGGTTGGGCTGGCGCTGGGGGTTGGTTGGCCGCTGGGGAGGCGCCAACCAATCCCAACAAAGTAAAAAAAAAAAAAACACCAACACCAAGCAACCGAAGACGCTGGGGATGCGGTCAAACCAAGGCCTTTCTGAGCGCGAAGATCAAACAACGGAAGCCCCCAATCCCACGCTTCCGGGATCTCTTTTTGGCCTCACTGGCGAAAACCATCGCACGACGTGGGCACTTGCAGGAGCAACAAGGAACAACATTGCGGGGATGCACCCCACAAGTTACTCCACTTGTGCATTGCTACTCGAGCTCCGCGAGAATTGCATAGGCTCCCCATACTTGCCCTTTGTGTGGTTTAAATGTCACCTGTTGGGGAATTGAAATGTGACTTTTGGTGGGGTGATATGAACTGTGCCAGAATACTTGAACATACTGCGCACAACTCAAGTATTATGATTGACCGGCAAAAAGCAATTCATTGTGCCCAATGGCACATGCAGTTCAGGTGCGGTGCACCTGTTCTGTGCATACACGGAGCTTTGATTTCAGTGGAAAAGCAAACTGCAATTTTGCAGTTTTCCCCCTTTGCAGAAAACCGAGCTTGCCCAGTGCGCCGAGTAGAACCAACACATGTCACCAAATTAGAACGAACACATGTCATCCATGTGCCCGGATACGAGGTGGTCACGGCTACTGAGCTGAGCACCGCATGAGCAACGACGAGGACCTAGAGCACATACCCACACTTTCCCCGACAAGCCCAAGGCTTGGTTGAAGTTGCTGGCTTCGAATCATTCAAAGCCAAGTCCAGCGGCTTGCGCTGGGAAAAATGTTGAAGCAAGCTTCAGCTACCTACACCGCGGTGTGACGTAAAGTGGCACGGAAACGTCAAAGCCCAAAAGGCTCCATCCAACGCATCTTGGCCGTGGTGCTAAGCACCGGTCGACACACCATGTTCGACTTTGACGGCGCATGGCCCAGCTAGCGAATCGATCCAGACTGAGATTTTAGAACTCCTGCGCGTTCTTACCATGCGTGGTTGAGGTACGCTGAATGAGTGAAACAAAGATTATGCACCTTGAGCCAATGGGCCAAGCATGATCCTTTTGGACTCTGAGAACATCTGAGAACCCCGTTGCTCAATGGCGTGCAACATTGTTGAACGATGCAGGAAATTAACGTCTGTCAAGAAAGGTGTTGCAGAAAGCCAATTGCTTTGATCCGCTGAATCAAGAAAGGACGCACTAGATTTGCAATACTCAGTTGGTTCCATTGCAACGTTCTCGGCTCTCATGCTGCGAGTTGCCTAGTAGTTGGTAAACAATCGCTTGCCATGCGCCAAGTGCCGCTAACCTTCCACTTGCACGCGGTGCACTAAGCCACGCTCGAATTGTCCATTGGGGCCCTAGCACATGAGCTTGGGGCTGACCATCCCGATCAAAACGTATGATGCGCTAGTTTGTGTGAGGTGACATGCCATTCGAATAGTATTGTTGGTGATTGTGAAAATTTTGTGCCATTTGGGGCATCCCATGTAAAGGACCCTTTGATCAACCTCCATTTGCCTATACATGCCTATGCCATGACACCAATGGCCTTATACCTTGTCCAGCACAGCCTTGCTTGGACTCAGCTCGAAGCCCCGGTCGAAGCACGCGCCCTTAAGGTATTGAGAACTTCCATAGCCATCGCTGGAATCCGCGAGGCAGCTTTGAAGTGATTGGCGCCCAGAAAGCCGAACCTAAGCCGACTCACAGGGAAACCCGCGCTGCGTAGGCAACAGAATTCGGGATTCGTTCTTGGGGGTGTGCGGAGGGCCTGTGCAAAACAAGGAGTTCAGTGAGTTGTCAAAACTAGTTGGACATGTTGGACCCCTCAAGGCGCTACCTTCCATATTGGTTTGCAAGGCCCGTTCGTACATGCAAACGCAGAAAGAATCCCCAAAGCAAGCTTCATCTACCCTCCCACCAATTGCATGGTGCCTGACGTTCGGGACTCGCTCCCTTGAAAAAGAAATGGTCCAAACCAGGACCCCGTACCCCCCCCTGAACGTCGATGTTGTTTTCCATGTGAAAAGGGTGGGATACAGTGCAGGGTTGCAAACATGTGATGTTCAAAACAATTCGTCGAACGGTTCCATGTTAATTGGGATATGGTGCAGGTTGCAACTAAATATACTAATTAACGTATAGATACACGTTTGTATATAAGGGAAACATTAATAAATGGCGAAAACAAAAACAACAAAAGAAGAAACACACACACACACACACACGCACACAAACAAAAAAGGTTGGCTCCGCCAAACCACAGCGCCGCCAGGTTCATGCGCCGCAACTCTTGGTCCAGGCGCTGTGGTCCGTTTCCGTTGGCATCTCGCCCCGAAATCTCCTGGTGCATTGCCTCCAGAAGCTCCTTGGATCAGCTTCCCGATTCGGAGCTGTGAATCTGAACCCGGGTTTCCCATTTACCCACAAGACTGGAGCTGTTCCCGAGTCCAAAGGTCCGAGCCCAGATCTGCGGACTCCAACTGGACTGCAAATACGTCCGACATTGGAACGTTACCAACGAAAACAATGCACAAGCAAAAATAGGGCGAAAGACACATAGAAAACAAACAAGCAAGCAGCGACACAAACAAAGACGTAAGGAAGCACTCAGAAAAAGAGACAGACAAACAGACAGACAAACAGACAGACAGACAGGCAGGCAGGGCAGGCAGGCAGGCAGACAAACAGCACAAACCGCACAAAACAACACAAAACAACAAATCCAAAGAAGCAATCAAGCTGGGAAAGCTGGCAAACAAGCAACCAACAAAAATACAGAAGCAAAACAACTGACAAACAAGCAAAAACCAATTTGACACAATTGGTTCTGTAACACAGGTGTTCGGGTTCCCGCGTACGGAAGGTCTTGCCAGTCCTGGGCGTGGGCCAATGGCGGCAGGCGCTCCTGGAAGTGGGGCATCAGCAAGGCCAAGCGCTGGGAATCCGTTAAAGAGCCTGACAAAGACTTGGTTGCTGCAAGGACCCCCCTGCAAAAAATCCTAACTTTTTTGGGGTTTAATGAAAGCCACCTTTGTTTCCCAAAAAGTTAAAGTCAAAAGATTTAATCTAATAGTAGTCAAGAAGATGCCACCCCTTGACCCATCTCAGCTTCACCGAAAAGGGTGGCTTGGAGCCTGGTGGTTTGGTGGCAAGGAGGAGTTTCCCATCTATGAAAGCCGAGGTTCAAACCCCAAACAACCAATCCAAACCACCAACTAAGGCTGACCATGGTTGGGGTGGAAAGAATTAGACACAGATTGTCCGATACAGCTTCTGATTGATATTCAGTCTACCCTAAAACACACAATACTTTCTGAGACCCTATGTGTGATGTTCAACCCCACCCTTGCAAGCGAAGTGGAGCTGGCGTCTTCAGAGCCATCCCACCGACCATGCGTGGAACTACCTGTTTGCCTACGGCACCCACAAACAAATACTTGTATGTTTGAATAGGCCAACTGGCATTTAAGACTAGCTGAAATGGGAATAGTACGTACACTACCTCCGTTGCCCTCAGCCTCGGCCCGCGTCCACATTATAGGCACAGGGAATTGTATCGTTTGTGGGTTATCCACCAAACTAAAAGGCAAAAAGGGACTGAACAACTGGGTAGACAAAATAGAATTGAGAAGTGCACCCCCCTGGCCTTTCAGCGCGCGGTTGCTTAGACATTGAAGGCGTCTGGCCGCATGAAAGTGATGGTTTTGAGTAGCGTGACCCTGCCGGTAAGAGGCGGGTGACACAAAATACTATCAATGATGCATGGCGGTCTTTGACCCTTCACTGACTTCGGGGCATGGTGCTTCATATAAGCGATTGCCAAGCATGCTGAGGTTGGCCCCTCCTGCTACCTCAGCTTTGGCCTCCAACAAATGGCATGCTTACATTCTGATTCATATGGGCCGACATTGAACTGAGTAGGGTGTTTGTTGTGTAAGCATTTGCTTTCTCCCCTCGGGCTGCAAACGCGCTGTGTGCTTACAGCATGGTCACCAGTAACATCAACCTGCCCCAGCGTCACAGTAGGCTCGGGTTTCGTGCGGGTTTAAGGGAAGGCCTGGGGTTTCCTTAGGGTTAGGGCCCAAACACCGCTCACAAAAGCTGCCAAGCCCAAAAGCCTTTTGACCGCCTATGCGCACATGGGCTGGATCAATATCCAAAACAACTACCTAAACGTATCTTGAGTCAGTTGACCGCGACAAATTACAATCAGCTGGGTTTTCCTTGAATCCCATACTCCAAGAAGGGTGTCCTTCAAAACAAGGTGAGATCGCAAAGGATGATTCATGTGTGGCCGCTCCCACTCCCGCATTTCGCCCGAAGCCCCGCCTAAATATTGCCTCAGCGGCTTGTTCAAATGAACCTTCGGCTCGGTGTGCGGCAAGTGGCAGAACCCGCAGTCGTCCCCTGCCTCACAACTTCCCTTGGCCATGCGGATGCAGGGTCGGCGGCAAATATTGGGATGGCCGCGACTGCCTTCGTTCACCATCTGCGGAGCCTGCGGCACGAGCGGTTGCCTTGGCCAGGGAACACAACCTCATCCCACAAGTGATCGGTGCCAAACTGATGGCTCACACTGGTGGACCAACTGACTAAAGCAGGAACACAAAATCAAGAGTTGCGGCGGTCTGAAACGCAAACCGGAAAACTGGTTGCCGCTTGCCAACTTTCTGGACGCAACCAAAGCCAATCAAGCACGTAAGCACGCCATGCATGGCCGATGACTGTCTCTGCCATCAAAGAGGGCGGGCCAAAAGCCCTGGCCGAGTCCCTTGAACAGTCCCTTGAACCCCGGCGAGTTGCAAGTGCGCAGCCCTCTCCGGCAAAGCCGCCACAAGCTGATGGAGTACCTCCTCCTCCTCCTCTGCTCGTTCTGCGCGTGGCGCGGTCGGCAGGCTCCGGGCTCGGATCGACGAACCTCCAGCGAAAGCCATCACGGGGGTCTCGTCGATGAAGGTCATGTAGTATCGGAATGGCATGGCAAGGCTCGAGCTGGCTTCAAAAGCTGGAAAACAGGGGCTTGAGAACGGCTCTCATTGCAATTCACCGAAAAACTGGATGAGCCTGTTGCCAACCGTTTTGTTCAACTGCAAGATCCAAAAATATGCCACAGCAAATCGGTCTGCAAAGCAGCCAAGTTGCTTTCCCTTGGGTCCAAACCTCACCAAGTACCCCAATTAGAGCCCGGTAGTCTGGAGGTGTTCCCAGGTCGTTTCTCATTTGCCCTCTACAAGAACCAGGGGCTAAAACCACCAAACCAATCTAAACCACTGCAGAGTCAGCTGCAGCTGAAAAAGGTGGCCTTGCAGTCCCTCTTATCGCTCCCAATCCAAGCTGCTGCAAGCGCTGCTCCAGGCTGGTGGTGGTCATCATCTCGACGGCTTTCCCCACGCGCGGCAGGGGGATGGTGCCTTTGTCGGTCCTTGGACATTTGTGAAAGAATTTGAGTAGGCCCCTCGTCCACTCCATTTCTTACGTAAGCAACTCAGAAATAAGCCCCTGACAAGTTTGTTCCCTAAATTATGGTCAATGGTGGCTTCATGGCAAACCAGCCAAGGGGGGTGGATTCACATCTGGGTCCATACAGTCAGCCTTTGATCTGGGGAACACAGAACAACGCTATTGAAGTAAGAAACGGGTCATCCATGTTGAGAGAAACCCAAAGGTGCCATGGCCAACTCACTTCCTCCAACTCCTGGCTTCCTCTCCAGGCCGGGGCGCCGGATTGTGGGCGAGGCCCTCTGAGGCGTTCATGACTCTCACCAAGCAAGTAAACAAGTCCCTTGACCATGTCACAATGGTCGCATGGGGGGGGGGGCACAGAATGATCAGCCCTTCGGCGCCGTCCGCATTGAGGTTGTTACCCGTAAGCTTCAAGCTTCATATCCAAATTGCGCCAGGAGGCAGGGGGATGGGGGCCCCGGGCCTGTGGGCCCCGGTGGGCATGGGGGCAAATCAAACAACACCAAACCCGAGCCTGGATTTCGATTAAACCATATTCCACGCACTACGCACTTTTTGCTCCCTGAACACCCATTAACATGCAGAGTAGTTCCTGCCCCATACCGTGTATGATGTCGAGTTTGGACAGCATGTCTTGCCCAACCTGCGTTGCGGGCAATTACAATTTTGGGGTAATGGACATCGAAAGGAACACCCCCCCCCCCATTTTCAGGGGGTGGGTGAGTCCCCCCCCTTCTCTGACACCCACCCCCCATTTTCGGGGGGTGAATAAGTCCCCCTACTCTGACACCTGCCCAAGCATTGGTTGCCTTGCGCGAAACCAGAAATCGCTGCCCCGGGCGCAAACCTTGAAATGGCCCACGGCTCTCCAAGTCCATCTGCTGCAAAGCCTGGCAGAACTTGCTGGTGCGATGGGCAGGGAATAAGAATTGGAATGAACCGTTTTGGGATTCCCTTTAAGGGAAGCCACCAAAGGGATGGTTTTTAGGGGTCATTCCCACATTCCCTACGGAGGGCCAGCAAGATAAACAATTGACAGCCAGAACTCCATGTCTTGCTAGAGATCCATTCCGGGTGTGGCTCAAGTCAGGCATTGCACCATGCGCGCCAGCGGGAAGAAGGTGCCCAGCTTTCGCTTTACAACCTTACGCAAGACCCCGCTTCCATACATCACCTCTCGCGGGAATATTGCATGATGCCGGGCTAGTCATTTCCATGTGCCAAAGGCACAGCCACAATTGGCATAATAATAACAACGATGATAACAATAATAATATAATAATAATTATATTGGGGTTGTTCAAAATGGAAGAAACCATTACAAAGGGGGCCCTTTCGTCACCCATGGCAAGGATCAAGGATTTGCCTTTGAACAGCCCAGGATATTGATGGACGTTCTCAGCGAACCCTACATACAACTATAATACACCTAGCTCGGGGGATTCGAACCATTCATCTCCCAAATTGTCTCGTCCCACTTCCTAAAGTAGAATTTCTCATGCAACAGGATGAGAGATCTCAATTTCGTTCACCACCATAAAGTAGTTACTCATAGAAAAAGGTTGAGAGAGGATGAATCTTTTCAGCCAAAAGGGTGGAGTGAACATGACATCGAATCAATCCCTCGCCTGGTCCATGGCAACATCCACACTGCTCCACTTTTGGCGGTTCCGCTTTTGCAGCTCCTCAGCCATGCGAGAGGCAAAATGAGTTGATTAAACCCCTGTCGCCGACACAAACAGGTGAATTAGGAAAAATAAATCCGGTGCTGACTTTTGGGCTCACCCAAAAAAGAGAGCCAGACTCTCCTTTTGGGGGGTCCCTTCCCTGTTGGACAGCCCATGTTCATCGGAAGGCATCTAAGCCTAAATCCTGTGCAGTCCTGGGTCGCAGGCCCCGGAAACAACCCTCACCGTTGCGCAAGGGGCATTTTCAGGTCAGGGGTTTCGAGATAACGTGGGTGCGCCTTCGATTCTGGCATTGTGCAAGTAGGGAACAAGGGAAACCCGGTAGGTTCCCAGGGTTGCGGCTGGCTTACTTGCAATATCAAGGGCGTCCACTATGTGTTTTTTTTACATCCTTGGATGGGATGTATTCCAGAGGCCGCAGCGTATATCCCGTGTGCAAGTATCATTATCCTTTTTGGTGTCCTGTAGGAATTAAACGTACATGGACCATACAGACCGCCACAGGGCACCTTTAACCAGGAGTTTTCTCAAGCCGTCGATTCATAGCGGGTCCCCATTTCAATGGGATCCTTGACGGGGCATGCCCATGATCCGCGAGGCTGATTCCAGTAAGCCGGGCCGCTGCTTCGTTCATGCTCTGCAGGAAGCGCCGGCTTCGAACTTCCGGCTCCTTCCTTGGGCAAACTTCGGGGAGTTGAGACTGGCGGCTTTTCTAGGCTGGCTTTTGGAGGCCAAAGCGACATGCGCCAAACCGGGTCCCAAGTGAACCTTCAAAACAGCAATGCTGATGTCTCTTTAATGGATCCACTCAGACCTGCCTTCACAGCAGTGAATCATGTTAAGGTTATTTTGTCCTTCCTGCCCTTCCATTTGTACCTCCCACTGCCCAAATGCAGCACTGAACACATGCAACTGGAGAATTCGGCTGCATGCATTCGGGCTTCTTCAAAATGAGGGCATCCCTGATAATCCGCAATAATCATCAATAATCAAGTATTAATTATGGCCATTTCCAAAGGCCAATTTGTATTTTTTAAGGAACCTCGTGACTCTCAGTCACTGTGCAGATCAAGGTGCACGGGTTCCGTCGGCGTCGATGTCGACCTGAGCCGAAGGTTCCATCTGGGATTTCAGGGCTGCGATCCGTTTCAACCCGCGCAAAGCTGTGTCAGTATCCAGCTAAACAGAGAATCTCCCATTGTCTTCGGTTTCCAGCGCCATTTTGCCGTCAAAATAATTGACCATCTCCTATACCCATGCCCTCTGGGTGAGACAAAGAAGAGCTACTTGCACTCTGAAATCGGCGAGCAGGACCGACCCATCCGAACAGGTGAGCTTGGTAGAAAAAGTCAAGCCCATTTTTGGGAGCAGTTTTGAAAAGGGAAAAGGGGTAGCTTCCTATATCTCTGTATCTGGCTTGGCTCTTGCCGGGATGAACCGCCTCAGCATTCCAAGCGATTAATTCCTGGTACCGAGGGCAAGCCTGAATGTCTGTTGATGGGGGATTCAGCGATTCTTCCGTCTAGGCCCCACCTCTCCCCGCACATTCTGCGGAGCCAAGCAGCTTCTTTGGCCTCCCCCGCTTTTCCTCCTTCCTCAGTGAGGGGGTGTTTACCAGTGTTCGCTAAGAAGCACTGCACATTTAACTATATAGTTAGTTCTAATTATAGTGAAGTTCAAGCAAACTCGCCCTCTATTTTTTCCAAGGCAAACGTACCACAACTGAAGATTCAAACAGGAAAAGCTCAAAACCATGCTCTGGACAAGTCAATATTGAACGGGGGCTTGAAAGGGACCTCCGCGATAAAAAACAATTCTGAGAATGTTCACTCTTTTGTCGGGGGCGAATCCTGGGTTCATTTGCGCTCTTCAAAATGGCTTGGCCAATCCTGATCCATCCCAAAAATGGAAGCCACTACACAGCAAACCATTGCGAAACCCCTTCGGCGAGGATCTGGCGGATTGCCTTTGAACAGCCTCACCCTTCTGGGGAGCAAGGGGTTGAAGAACCACCAGTGTTTAAGTCCCCCGGACAAAATGAGAAAACATTTCGAGTGAATATCGATTCCCTTTAAAACCAACCCGTTGCTGTCGAGCGTCGACTCCTTCATTGCCCTTTGCGACCCGATCGGCTGCCGAACTCGTTGCGGCTGTTCGGACTTCGACTCCTGTGCGAAAACAAAAACACATGGATCTTTTTGGAGGGGACCCCGAGCACGGGGGGGTCCGTTTTGGTTTTTTCCTTGAAACCCACAAAAAAGCGGGGCCATCAAAAAAGACCGACCTACATGCGCCGGCCAAGGATGACACCTTTCACGTTGGTTCCAGTCACCACTAGCCCAAGCCTTCAGGAGGCAGTGCTTGTTGCAAAGGTTTGAATGAAGTCACAATGTATCAAGTCCAGGAACTCGAGTGAGCACAGAAGACAGTCTGGGTGTTAAAGCCATGGGTTCCGGAAAACTAACAATAAATTGCCCATCCTGTCTTGGCCTCCTTTCTAGGCAAGTCGCGCTAGCATGGGCTATGCAAACAATCTAGTTTTCCCTAGGTTTGCCTTGTTTTTGCGGCTGAGGATGGTTGGTTCGCTTGCAACACCCAGAACTTCCAACTTCTCCGCACCTTGTCTTTTGATGCCTTCTCCTTTGGCTTCTCCTTCGGCAGTTTCGCATCTTTCGGCTTTGGCTTGAGCTTCCGCATCTTTTTGCCTGTCGAAAGGGGAACACATGCTGCCCGCATGGCTTGGCAAATGGGTGTGTCTGTTTCAAGGGTACCATTTCCAGGTTGCTTGCTTCAACGGCAAAGAGAGGACCATCACTTAAGAGGTTCCATATCGAAGAACTGCCCAAAAGAAATGTGGAATCCCCATCCCGGATTGCGACACATGTAGGCTACAATGTAGGCTCCCTGAGGTCACAAAGACCCCCCCCTCATGCGTGAATTGATTGAATCTGGGTCAAATTACCCATCTTCCTACCGGTATCCCCTGTTGGTTGGCTTCCTGTTGGGTAATTATGAATGTGCTATTCAAGCAGCCAGTGAGCCTCATTCGAATCTGGGGGCTCCGGGCCTTTCTTACGCTTTGGCTTCGGCGGCTCCGACTCCCTCTCTGCCCGCTTTCTGCCTCGAGTCGGGAACTCAGTCGAGACCCAGGTGGTAAGGGGAACATGCAGCATTGGAGCTCAGGCATTGGGAGGTCTAGAGTTCATTGGAATCCGAGGCCCTCCTCCCTTATACCCACTTCTGGCACGGCTTTAGAACGAATTGTTCTAGCTGGGGGGGGGGGGGGTGCATATATGTGTGTGCTTGCGTGTACTCATATGTGTGTTCCACGTGTGCACATGTGTGTGTTCACGTGTGCACATATGCGTGTTCCACGTGTACACATTTGTGTGTTCACATGTGCGTTCCAACTGGACGCGTGTATGTGTTCCAGGAGAACACATGTTTGTTATCAGATGAACACGTGTCTACTCGCATGCACATGTATGAGCCAGCGTCTATATTTGCTGTGTGGGGTGTATTCATTCTACTTTTATGAGTCCCCTATCGTTCTCCACGTTTCGCGTGTTCGTGCTGTGCCCGATGAACCCTCTGCAGGGATCGCGCGCCTCGAAGCGCTCCCACTGTGGCGCCGTGCGAATTTGTAAAGCCACAGCGCCCTCGCTGTGACGCCGTGCGAATTTTAAAACTGCCCGATGAACCCTCTGCAGGGATCCTGCGCGCCCAAGCGCTCTCGCTGTGGCGCCGTGCAAATTCGTAAAGTGCCCAATGAACCCTCTGCGAGGATTGCGCGTGTCAAAGCGCCCTCGCTGCGACGCCGTGCGAATTTGGAAAGTGCCCGGTGAACCCTCTGCAGTGATCCTGCGCGCCCAAGCGCTCTCGCTGTGGCGCCGTGCAAATTCGTAAAGTGCCCAATGAACCCTCTGCGAGGATTGCGCGTGTCAAAGCGCCCTCGCTGCGACTCCGTGCGAATTTGGAAAGTGCCCGGTGAACCCTCTTCGCGGTGACCACGCGTGCCCAAGCGCTCTCGCTATAGCGCCGCGCGAACTCGAAAAGCACCCGACAAGCTTTCTACGCAAACACAGCACTGGAACCACACGCGTCGTCTTTTGTAAGCAAATGCACTAGGCCTCACATTTGCAACTCGGGCCAATGTTCGGGGTATCGACTGGGTATCGACCGGGGTATCGTTCTGGGCGTGCGTCGCGTGACGAAAATTTTCACAATTTTCCATAAGCTGTTAGAGCCAAGCAAACACACAATAGCCTTCTCTGCCTTGCGGTAATCATATATCAGTCTTGGCGGCTTGCTTGCTGGCAGCAACCTCAAGGTCGCAAGTCGCAACTTTCACCACAAGCGCAGTGCACAAGTTACACTTCGCCAGCTCCAGCTCGAAGGTCGCAGCTTGCGGCGGTCACGTGTCAGTCTAAGCGGCTTTTGCTTGCTGGCAGCAACCTCCAGGTCGCAAGTCGCAGCTTTCAGTACAGGCACGGTACACAAGTTAGACTTCGGCAGCTCCAGCTCGAAGGTCCAGCACAAACCATGTTCAGGGGTATCGTTTTTTGTGAGCCCCCTATCGTTCTCCAAGGAAAATGCAAAAAACCAGTATTGAATGAAACGCCGTTGATAAAGTGGTCTTTGATAATTCTGAGGTTGACTCATGTGTGTTCACGTGTACGCATATATGCGTGTTCCACGTGTACACACTGATGTGTTCACGTGTGCACACACATGTGCGCTCCAACTGGACACGTGTTTGTGTTCCAGGAACACATGTTTGTTATCAGACGAACACGCGGCTGAGGCCTCACGCAAAACATGGTGGCCTAGGACGAGGTCATTTCTGGCCCGATAGTCATGCCTACGGGCTGTTTGATGCCCTAAAGGACCCATGAGTCACTCCAAGTAGGCAGTTTTGTCATCACAAAACATTTCGGCATGGTGCTGCTTGTGTTTTTTCTGGGTGAGGGTCACAATGTCTAATAGTTTTCCGCAAAAGGCAGGTGGTGTGTTGGTGGACATTGACAACGCAAAACAAAATAACATGCTCAATGCATCTTAGTGTTTTCCTGCTTCCACTTCATGGTCCTACAGGCCGTATGGTCCGGCACCTTGGTGACTTTGTGTTTGCTTGCGCCCTCTCCAGCCTTTTGCACCCCTTGAAAATAGAAAAAACGAAACAAACGGCTGTTGAAACAAGCACCTGGATCCCCAATGACCAGTTTTTGCCAGCCACTTTTCCCACTAGTAGCCCATGATTTGGAAAAAGTAGCTGGAAAATAAGGGCAACTGGGGATCCAGGTATTTTTAATTTAATCATGCTTCTGCCGGCAATCGCTCGGAGGGCGCCTGGCGCCGAGGTAACGCCCCTGAGCGCCGCCTCTCGAAACTGTGCCAGCCTGACCAGGAGCCCCATCCATCCCGTGCTTCCATTTGCTTAAGCCCCCTGAGAAAAAATACAGTAGTGATAGGTTCCCTTTAATACCAACAAATGAGAATACAACATGTTTTTAAGCAAATGGAAGCATGCTGCAGAATCCGCGAGTTGCCATGTGCACAAGTGAAGGAGTTTTTGCTAGTGCGATCCAACAGCAGCCAAGATGGAGGTTGGAAGCCTCAACGGGAAATCAGGCGAGGGGTCAGGGTTGGGCGATTCAACCCCTTGCCTAAGCATGTTTAAGCAGTACTAGTTTAAACAGCCTTCTTGGCTTCCATTGAAAGGGTTTGATTCGACCCAAACTCAAATCAGTGCCACACATATTCACCCAAGACCAAAAAAGGACACCTAGGGTTGCAATCGGGGACATTTGCATGGAGTGTCCAACGGTCTAGGACACAGTCGCCCCGCTAGGCAAACCTGAATGCGAATTTGGGAACCACAACTTGCAAAAGGGCCCCCTTTTAAAGCTCAAGGAAATACAACGGAAGCACAAGAGATTCGGGCACGCGCAAAGCATGAACCCGACAGATGCTCGTTTTCAAGCAGCACTGCACTTATCTAGGTGAGTTACCCTCTCCCGACTCATAGAAGCTGAGCGAAGTTAATACATTGATCTAGCCAATTGAGGCCCAAACTTCCGCAGGCTGCGTGAAAAAAGAAGCGGGCATCTTTTTGTTTGGTTGACGGTTGAAGGGAAACCATCTCCAAGAGACAGGAAGAAAACAAACAACCCACTCGCAGGGTTCCTGAAAGCGTACATCCAGCCCACCTGAAGGGCAACATACTTTCTTCGCCTGGCCCAACATGTGGCTGTGGGTCAAAAATAGGTATCCAAAATGGAACCCTGGTAAATAGAAACATGGACTAAAATCTCCGGTTTTCTGGTGGTTTAATTTTGACCCATGCCCATTTATCCGTTAAGCGACCCCAACTGGAGGTCCAACCCACCTGTGCTCGGGGATGGGTCCATCCACCAGGCCGTAGCTGAGTCCCACCGTGCTTACTGCCATCCTGGCCAGCTCCCTTGACCCATCGCTTGGGTCTGCCCCGGGACCGGGAAATGAAAGGTGATCACCTGTTGGGACTACTAAAAATAGACCGCTTCTAGACAAAAAATAGACCAAAAAGAGAAACCAAAAGGTCAACAGGTCGATGCGCTTTGAACAATTGAGGGGTACACCTCAAACCAATATCTGTAGAGTCTGCTTCTCTCTTCCCGATCGAGTGGATTGTCCGAAAAGCAAGCAAACTGATTGTTTCCCACTAACGTGGTCTTCCTGAAAAGTATGAAGCCCTGCATCTTGGGGAGTGCAGCTTCTTATTTGGGCTACCGCAAAATCTAAGATCATATTCCAAAAGACCCTGGGAAGAAACAAACACACCAACAACTCACTTTCGTAGAAATGAACACCAAAAACACCCCTTTATGCCAATCACACTTTTTGGAGTATGTTTCATATTAAGGGAGCCCCAGCTTCATGTTTGCCATTCCTAAGGGGAAACCCTGGGATTGAACACCAGGCTTTCTTGCTGACATGACCGGCTGGCATTTGCAAAGGGTGCCCTTTTGCCGTGGTCACAACATTGAAACAGGGCATTTTGAAGGTCGCAATTGACAAACTTCTTCATGTTAACTTCTTGAGGTTTACGTCCATTGTGATATCCTCAAATTGACCAAATGGAGAATCAAACGGAAACCCTTCGGGACCCAAAACACATGTTGAGAACCCGGCCCACTTGTTTTTGAGCCCTCCCGAGTTTCGCTACCTGACGGACCTAAGGAGTTCCAAACCCTACTAGTAAGGGTAACCTCAACCCTTTCTTTCTAGGGATCCTTCTCTCCAAAAAAGCAAAAAATGGAAAACAAAAAAAAAGACAAGTGGCTCAAACACATGTACCAAAATGGCACCTTAGTAAATCGAACCAAAGACTAAAACCTGCCAACCCTAGCTTTGTAACTTTGAGCCGCACCCCGCTGGGACTCAACGTCCGATTCCGCTTGCCTCTGATGCTTGTAGCAGAGGGAGCAGCCGCTCCGCGCTTCTTCGCACTGCCCGCCCTGCCCGGAATTCCAGGTTCTCGCCAGGCACCGCCGCGCATCCTCGAAGCTCGGAGAAGCATCCCCCCCAACGTCCCTTTGGATTGGAAATGGGATATTTGGATCTCAGTTTGTCAGGGTTCCGGTACGACATCCAAAGGCCTGCTTGAAGAATCCTCCAAATCAGCATATTTGCCCAAACATTTCCCATATAAGAGCGAACCGTTTTTGTTTGGGGGGAGGGTGGTTGGGAGAGTAGCAGCTGGAGCTTTAAACAAAAAAACACACCACAACCACAACGACGCCGAGAAGCGCGTGGGCCCTCGAAGGCACTTACCCACACCGCCAGGAGAGCTCTCGGTATGAGTTTCCGCGGTTTTGTCTATTCCACTCTGGGATTATATACACCCTCTGGGGAGTCGCTAGGCTATTTCCAGAAAAGCCCTGGTCATTGGGTGTAGTCCCAGGTGAAAAAGAAAACACTATGAAATCAGCCACCTGAGGTCAAGTACGTTGATTTCAGCCAGCCTGCAAGGAACACGCCCAGGCTGGCCACGAGTTGTTCGAGCAATTTTCGCCGAGACACAATCTGCTTGGGCGAAAAGATGTGCCATTCTTCTTCACCACTCAACACCTGCAGGGGGGCCATTCACACTGCTTTCCACTCTCGCCCCCCGCCCCCCACATTGAAAGCAACAATCATTGGCCTCTTGGGAGTGGAGGCATTTGCATCTTTGCCAACCCGCCCAAAGCACAACTTGATGCGAGGGGTTGGTGTCAATCTGCATCTAATTCAATTGGTGGTTAGGTTTGGCGTATTGGAAGTTTGGGGGGATTATCTTCCCATGGGGTTTGAGGAAAACTACGGGCTCAACTCGCAGTGCACTTAGTAATGTCAACCAGTAGGGTCCTCCGGATTCATTCACTAATCCGGAGGACCCTACTAATCAAGGGTGGTTCCCTTTAGGAAGGATATAATTAATCTATTTTAGGGCATAGTAGGGTCCTCCGGATCAACAAAAAACAAAAACCAACAGAAGTTGGTAGTGGGCTTCCTCACCAACTGCGGACCTCCAAGTTGTTCACCGAGCTCTGCGAACAGTTCGATTTGTTGTCGGTCAATTAGAAGAAAGCGACCCCTCTTTGGATTTGATCCTTACTTTTACTGGGCAACCCAACAAAAGGGAATCAGGGGTGCGGGTCAAACTGATTGTCATTTTGCTCGTGTTCGGAACCCGCTACCTGTGTCCAATCAAGTACATCCTCAAAAATACCCTCCAAATTCTCAATCAACGGAAGGCAACCTCCACATTGAGAACCCCTGGAAACGTTCACTTCAATCAATGCTCGCCGCCCTGTCGCCTTGTCAGCTGCCTCCCCACCCTGGCGCATGTCGACAGTGGAACGATCCAGAGTTGCAGTAGATGGCACAACATTTAAAAGTTTATGTCGGAGAGAAATCGGGGACAACTAACCAAACTTCAAGAATTGTGCCTACTAGTTTTACTCAGCTGCAATTCGACCAACACAATGCAATACAGATCTGGATTCAGCCTTATGCCACAAAAGGAAACGGAGATTCCCTGCATTGTTGGTTTCTGCACACGCTCGCGATTCAGTCCCTGTATTGAGTGTCCAAAGAACCGGCCTGCAAATCCGTGGCCCTCTTGCGGAGCGCCAATTAAAGGCTCTGTGCTGGGAGGATTAATGGCCCAGGGTCGATCAAACAAGAGAGACTCTGCCCTGCTTCAGAGAGCAGGGAATCATAGAATCCTTAAGTTTTGGTGAACCATTGCAGAGTGAATCAGAGTGGAAACATGAGCAAAGATGGAGCAGACCCTTCACTTTTGGTGGAAACATACCAAATCATTAGCTCCCAAGTTGCAGGTGCTCGGAACCTTTAAGGGCTGGTGGAACCGCGTGATCCATCCTTATGCAGCTTCTTTCCAAGAAAAGCAGCTTAGTTCTTTGGTTCCTTCAGCATAGCTTCAAACATGGCTCGCAATGGACCTAGACATATCCAGCATGTACCGGTTCGGTTCATGGCGTCTATGATGTCCACCATTCACGCACGACTATGCCCCCTTGAAGGTCAACAGGGAAACTCAAACAACTCTCGGCAGATCCTTCCAGAATGTCAAAACTCAGGGGGATCCCAAATCGGACCACCAGGAAAACTCGAAACGTCCCAAACGCCTGGGCCGCAAACGCAAACAACAAAAGGGTTGAACGCCGCCTGAGCCGCCGGTTGAGCGTCTTCAACGGGATCTGCCGGCACCTTCCAGGCAAATCTCATGTCGGTACAGCACGCTTCAGCCTACCCACGGATACAGCCCACCGGATGGAGCCCTGGGCCACCCATCCATCCATCCTGCACGACCGGGGTGTTGTTATTTGGGATGTGCCCGTAGAAGGCAAGGTTTCCCCGGAAAGGATATGGCACGATTGTGTCACTCCTTGTAGACAACCCAGTTACCCAGTTATGACCCTTAGAGATGGGCAAACACTGAAAATCGGCAAACATGCCTCAGTAAAAGTCTTAAATTTAGAGTGCTGCTGCTGTGGCTGTGGTTGTGGTTGTGGTTGTCGCTGTCGCTTCCCTGTCGCTGTCATTGTTGTTGTTGTTGTTGTTGTTGTTGTTGTTGTTGTTGTTGTTGTTGTTGTTGTTGTTGTTGTTGTTGTTGTTGTTGTTGTTGTTGTTGTTGTTGTTGTTGTTGTTGTTGTTCTTGTTGTTCTTGTTGTTGTTGTTGTTGGTGGTGGTGGTGGTGGTGGTGGTGGTGGTAGTGGTGGTCGTCGTCGCGGTCGTCGTGGTTGTCGTCGTCGTTGTTGCTTTGTTGGTTTGGGGGGTGCTCTTATGTCGACGCATGAATGTTCTTCAATAGGCTGAAATTATCCATGAGTTCTGCAAAAAACGGCATTTTACCACACAGGCATGGGCGAAATAAGCATGCTAGAAAACGGTGTGGATGCGGTTTTTGTGGAGTTCACGTGTTCTTGCTCCTGTAGGTTCTTTTCAGTACTCTTTTAGTACTCTTTTACTAGTTTACAAAAACCGCATCCAAACCGTTTCCTAGAAACCTCCCAAGCCAGCCAAGGTTTGGCCAATGCTCAAGCCTACGGGAAATGCAACCCACGGCCTCCTTGGCTTTGGCCCAGACTCCCCGCTGCAGGTCTGCCATAAGAAAGGCCATGCCTCGATTCGATGTGCATGGCGGGGCTTCCCGGGAATTTCGGAATACCACTTCCCGAGCGGGTTGGCCAAAACAAGCTATAAACCATATATGCATATATAAAGCTGGTTGGTTGCCACTGAAATGGCCCAGACCCAAAATGTGTAAAGCCCCACAAGCCCAGCAAGTGAGAGGCATGCCTGCCTCGGCTTTACCAGCTTTAGGGCAACCGCCGGCTCAATGACTCAATGCCGTTTAACGAGGGCAAGTGGCACCTTGCCGGGTGGATTCCCAGTAGGCGGTGATCATTACGTTAGGTCACAGCAAAGTGACTACACAACCAAAACAGCTCTAATACGCGAAATAACCCTCGCTGAGTTGCCTTTCTGTCTGTTAAAGAGGAGGTCAGGAAGAATTGGAAATGATGTTCCAGCCGTGTTGGTTTCCTATTGGGAAAACTGCCACCAACATATAGCGGGCTATTTCGCCAGCCATCTTAGAAACTTGCGAACCAACAGAGGGGGAAACAAAAACAAAACAATCGGAGCTTTCCCAGTTGTCTAGACCGCAGCTTCTAAAAAACCCAATCCAAACCACGCATCCGCAGAGTCTACACGTCGACCCTCGCAGCAAAGTGGCGCCAGCTGCCCCAAGCGCGAGCGCCAAACCAACGGCTCTCCGCCTTGTTCTTGCCTGAGGCGAAATGGGCCGAATCTGAACCCCGGAAATTGATCAGTTAACTGGAATTTTGGGAGGCTTCCATAAGTTGGTGAATTTAGGGAAGTCTTCCAAAGGGGTCCTGGGATCTTGCAGGGTCGTCTGGGGGAGGGGTATTTTAGAATACGGTTTGGATGCGGATTATCCTGTGGCTCCACCCCAGAATATTCAAGCGTACTAAAAGATGACATAAGGAAGGACCAACAGCGGCAAACACACAAAAAGGTGAAATCCACAAACAACGCATCCAAAAGCGTTTTCTAGAGATACGACGTTTCTTCAAAGTGCCTGGTACCGCCTTGCGCGAGGTCTTCCAGCCGGCGCCCTTCTCGTCGCTCCAATTGGTCAAGC